GTGTGTGTGTGTGTGTGTGTGTGTGTGTGTGTGTGTGTCGCCGCATGGCTGTATGTTCCCATCGCTCTCAGCAGACTGTCTGCGGCGGCGGCGCGTCTCGGCTTCGGCTTCCATCACGCTCGGAGAGACGCGGCCGTTCTCAGCCTGTGGCTCGGACCGGGAGAGGACAGACTGCCTGCGTTCGCCACACATCAAGTAGGAGTCGCTGGTGAGCGCAGAATGAGTTCTGTTCTGAATCCGCGGTTCTCTGTTTGACCAGCAGGCGGCGCCGCTCCTCCGGAGCACCGGACAGACATGTTTGAACATGCCCGGAAAGATGCCCGGGCAACGGCATGAGCTCAGTCTGGCAGCTGCTGCGCGACGCGTGCTTGTGTTTGATTAAAGCCGAATGCCGTGAAGGTGAAATCCCACATCTGGAATATTCTAGCAGTGAATAATCCGACCGCATTTCCTTTCTGTACGACTTCCAAACCAACATCCTCTGTGTGTTTTTATTTAGACCTTAGGTGGGTTAATTGTTAAACATTTATGGGACAATTTTCACAGCAATAACAGCTTAAAGTTTTTTGTAGAGTATCATATTTGATCCATCAGGCTTTTATGGCTCATATAGTCTGACAGAGTGAGAATATGGAGGAAGAACAGCTCAGTTTTATTGCAGATGCTGGTATTTATATGATTAAAATTCTGCTGCTTGTAATGTAAATAAATGAGATCTTTATAACAGTGCAGCAGATACTGACATAAAATTATGTAAATATCATTCGTGGCTCTATATCTGCAGTAATCTGTCTCAGTAAAATGAGATTGAAATGCTCCAAACATATAATGCAGTGATTGAGAGCTGAAGAAATAAAGGCTCCTCAGTGTGTGTGAGATGTTCTGGAGGCTTGTGAAGATCATTCCTCCGCTGAGGAACAGTGAAAGTAAAGCTTCTGGAAACAAACGCTCCTCAAAAGATTCTGAGGATCAGATTTGAGACACACTGATTTTTCTATAATATATATAGATAGATAGATAGATAGATAGACAGACAGATGGAAGGATATTTAACTTTTTGAATATTAGCTTTTACCAGGGTTAAATAAAGTTAACAGCTGGTCTGTATCTGTGGTTTGAGTGTGTGTGTGTGTGTGGGTCGTGCTCCGGGCAGCGCACGCGGCAGGCGGCTCTGCTCTGGAATGGAAACTCAAAGGATTGTTTTATCCACCCGCCAACATCTTTCCTCCGCTTTTATCTTGCGTCACGGCCTGTTTCGGTCGTCATTTACTGGTAAAATGGCCTGAGTGTTCGGGTTTAAAATATCTCTGGGAGTATCAGAGGTCAAGCTCACAGAGTTATTTATCTTCGTGGAGCAGATTGCATCTGGGCGCACCAAATGTGTTAATAAAATTCAGTTGACATGGGGATGTTTCTCTAGTTTCGAAATGATTAAAACCCCTGCAAAGCATTTCATCTTTCACCAGTGGAAAAAAAATGACACATCGCTATGTGCTCTGATGCAATGAGATGAACTCACCGGCTCCGTCCCAAACCCTAGCTGCCTCACTGTCTACATAGACAGCATCCTGACTGATTTGGGCAGCAACTGATGTGAACCAATCTCAATGTTCTTGAGCTACCAACTCAATACTCTAATAATAAGCACAAAAATGTAAACGGCGCTATTAGGTGAAATTATCATTTAAAGGAACAGTTCACACAAAAATAAAAATTAGCTGAAAATGTGCTCACCCTCAGTTCATCCGAGATCAGGATGAGTTTGTTTCTTCATCAGATTTGGAGGAATGTAGCATTGCATCAGTGTCTCACTGAAGTGAATGGGTGCCGTCAGAACGAGAGCTGATAAAGTCTTAATGCTGGATTTGTTTCAGCTTTTGTCTTCTCCAGATGCTAACTGATGGACTGGAGTGCTGTGGATTACTTGTGGATTATTGTGATGTTTTTATCAGCTGTTTGGACTCTCATTCTGATGGCACCCATTCACTGCAGAGCATCCATTGCTGAGACACTGATGCAGTGCTGCATTTCGAGTCGAGGGAGAATCGGATCCAAATGCAGTTGAAGTTTATCAAAGCAACAAAATCATAAAGAGCTTAAACCCAGGAACCAAGAACATCCGTGAAGAATAACCCTGAGCGCACCAACAATAGACAAACTCTGACAAAGAACGGTGAAAACACAAGGGCTTAAAGACACACAGGCTAAGAGACTAACGAGAAACAGGTGATAACAATCAGGAGTTAACAAGAGGAAACAGGAACAGAGTTCCTACACTACAAATCACTTCCTGTTTACCTTTAGTTCTTCTACTGCTAATTTATTTTTAAAAAGCAAATCTATTTATATGCAAGCTATTATGAGCTATTAATTTAGTGTTTAGAAAACAGTTAATTACATGCATAAAATGTTTTCATTGTTGTTCAATTTGTTTTTCATTTGCAATGCAGCTACTTGTGTGAAATACTTCATATTAATGATAGAATTAAAATACTTTCAAACATAATTGCCCACAAAAAATATTGATTTTTATTGATAGTACAGAAAGATTCTCACATCACAAACCTTTAAATCTGTTACATTACATTGTGTTTTTTTTTAAATTGACCAAAAACCACTCAAGTAAGAATCAACGTTTCATTTATAACTAGCAGCAGTTTCTATATTCTTTTAAAACTCAATATGGAAATACTGTGTAATGGACCTTAGTAGCCACATCTCAAATCTAAAACCTATAAGAGAACATGTTTATGAAAATATCTGATATTGTACTGATAGATATAAATAATATTTAGATCATCTGTGAACGTGGAACAAAAACGATAAAATAGCAGAAAGATAAAATGACTAATTTCCATAAAAATATATTTCTAAGTGTACAGCTAAAATAACATGCACGTGTTAAACATGACTTTCTTTCCTTCTCAGACGAAGAATGCTTGGAAGTTTCCCGGTGGTCTGTCAGATCTGGGAGAAAACATCGGTAAGATTCGGATTCAGATCCAGAACTGATGTTAAATTGAATCAAAACTAATTTAAGCACAGCAGAACGTTCTTCTACACAAAGTAAAGCAGTAAAAAATAAACTTTAGCTGCTCCAAAAGTGCATTTATAAGAACATCATCTAAGATTTGAGACCCTCAGAACATTCAGTTACAAAAATACCCTTCTTTAATACAAATAAAACACTATTTATTGTCGACTTGTATATAAACTAGATTTGCATTGACTTACTAAATGACAAACATCGATTACATCCTTATATAAGTCACAATGCTCTTTCTGAAAAAATAATGTTTTGTATAAAAGTTCAGTAAGTTACATTGTGTTCACAAGTGTACAATAAAAGATTTCATTCAGGACTTTTTGTGAAGTTTTATCCTACTCTACGTTTCTCTAAATCTCATTTAAGATACAATAAACAAAGTTATTAGTCAAACTGATTGTGTGAAAATATTTAAAAGAATAGTTCACCCAAAAAGTAAAATTAGATAAAAATGTACTCAGATCCAGGATGAGTTTGTTTCTTCATCAGGTTTGGAGAAATGTAGCATTGCGTCAGTGTCTCACTGAAGTGAATGGGTGCCGTCAGTAATCGGTAATCCAGTAATCCAGAAGTAATCCACAGCACTCCAGTCCATCAGTTAACATCTGGAGAAGACAAAAGCTGAAACTAATCCAGCATTAAGACGCTTTTAACTGCAAACCGTTGCTTCCGGCTAAAATATTTGATCTGTGCAGATTTCTCTCCTGATTCAGACCAGATCACTTTTTCACTGGAGGAAGCGTTATTATGGATTATGGACTCATATTTTAGTTAAAAACATCTTAATGCTGGATTAGTTTCAGCTTTTGTCTTCTCCAGATGTTAACTGATGGACTGGAGTGCTGTGGATTACTTGTGGATTATTGTGATGTTTTTATCAGCTGTTTGGACTCTCATTCTGACGGCACCCATTCACTGCAGAGCATCCATTGCTGAGACACTGATGCAATGCTACATTTCTCCAAACCTGATGAAGAAACAAACTCATCCTAATCATCCTAATTTTTCATTTTCAGTACTTTTTCGTTAA